CGTGGCCCCGTTGCTGCCCTTCGTGACCCCGTTGCAGCCCTTCGTGGCCCCCCGTTTTGTTTCGTGGCCCCGTTGCAGCCCTTCGTGGCCCCCTCGCTGCCCTTCGTGGCCCCGTTGCAGCCCTTCGTGGCCCCGTTGCAGCCCTTCGTGGCCCGCTCGCTCCCCTTCGTGGCCCCGTTGCAGCCCTTCGTGGCCCCATATATGTATGCCCTTCGTGGCCCCCGCTCGTTCGCGCCCGTGGTGGCCCCATGGCCCATAGCATGCCCTTGGTAGCCCCGCTGTCGTCCTTCGTGGCCCCCTCGCTGCCCTTCGTGGCCCCGTTGCAGCCCTTCGTGGCCCCCCCGCTTTGTTTCGTGGCCCTGTTGCAGCCCTTCGTGGCCCCCTCACTGCCCTTCGTGACCCCCGTTGCAGCCCTTCGTGGCCCCGTTGCAGCCCTTCGTGGCCCCCTTGCTGCCCTTCGTGGCCCCGTTGCAGCCCTTCGTGGCCCCCTCGCTGCCCTTCGTGGCCCCATATATGTATGCCCTTCGTGGCCCCCGCTCGTTCGCGCCCGTGGTGGCCCCATATGCATGCCCTTGGTGGCCCCGCTGTCGCCCTTCGTGGCCCCCTCGGTGCCCTTCGTGCCCCCCTCGCTTTGTTTCGTGGCCCAGTTGCAGCGTTTCGTGGCCCCCTCGCTGCCCTTCGTGACCCCCTCGCAGCCCTTCGTGGCTCCGTTGCGGCCCTTCGTGGCCTCGTGGCCCCCTCGCGCCCCTTCGTGGCCCCGTTGCAGCCCTTCGTGGCCCCCTCGCTGCACTTCGTGGCCCCATATCTGTATGCCCTTCGTGGCCCCGCTGTCGCCCTTCGTGGCCCGCTCGCTGCCCTTCGTGGCCCCGTTGCTGCCCTCAGTGGCCCCGTCCTCGCCCTCCGCGGCCCAACATGCGTATGCCCTTCGTGGCCCCCGCTCGTTCGCGCCCGTTGTGGCCCCATGTGCGTGCCCTTCGTGGCCCCGCTGTCGCCGTTTGTGGCCCCCTCATTGTCCTACGTGGCCCAGTTGCTACCCTCAGTGGCCCCATCGTTGCCTTCTATGGCCCCACATTATCTGCCCTTTGTGGCCCCCGCTCGTTCTCGCTCTTCGTGGCCCCATACGCATTCCCTTTGTGTCCCCGCTGTCGCCCTTCGTGACCTACTTCGTGTCCTTTGTGGCCCTGCTGTCGTTCTCTCTCGCTCTCGCTTTCGCTCGTCGTCGTCGTCGTCGCCGCCGTCGTCGTCGTCGTCGTCGTCATCGTCGTCGTCGTCGTCGTCGTCGTCGTCGTCGTCGTCGTGGTCGGTCCCCTGTCCGTCCCTCTTGGGGTCGGGTCGACGGTCCGCGGCCGCCCCGCCGATCAGCGCTGCCGCTGGCCAGGCCGACGGTCCGCGGCCGCCCCGCCGCTTGCCGGGGCCCGGCCTGCAGGGAAGAAAAGTATACCCCCCAAAAGGGGTTCGATCGAAGACGAAGAGGGCGGGTATCGAGGGTTTGGGAAATACGCGTTATTGGACATTCGAGCAGGTGAGGGCGAACAGTCTTAACATGATTGTTGTTGTTGAACTCTCACTTCTGAAGAATAATTATTGTTGATCCCCCCCGTCCGGTGCACATTGTTTTTTCGATTGAAGTGCCCTTCCTGGGGCTCGCACCCTGTTTTTTATTTGGGAAAGTCTTGAGGGTCAAACTGTGTCGTTGGCCCCCGGGTTACAACAACAACGGCTCCCGCCGGATATTTCCTCACAATTGATTGAAGAATCGCGCTTTCGCTTGGGACTTCCTTGCAAGTTACCACCGGATCGCGGCTCCCGCTCGATACTTCCTTACAACTTATTGAAGAATCGCGCTCTCACTTGGGGCTTCCGCGCTCCTCTCGACACGGTTGCAGTTCTCATTATCCTCCCGCCCCACTCTCCCAACATCCCGCTTCTTTTCAGGGTTCCACGACATGTGTGTTCTGACACCAGTTCGCAGCTGTACGTCCCCCCGTGGGGGTATCCACGATATGTTCTTTCAAAGGGGTACTACGTGGCGCTGTTTATGGCGCGACCCATGGCGAAACTTATTGTTGACCTGTGTTGGAGTGGTTGGTGCAAACAATGGCGCATGCTGAATCGCCACTCGCAGCGCAAATCATCGTCCTCCCTCCTTTTTGCCCCTCCCCTCCCTTCCCCCGATACCTTCGTCCTCATTCTCCCCGTTACCTGCTACCTTTCGTTTTCAAGGGCTTCACCAACCACGCGTTGCAGGGAATCAATATACCCCCCAAAAGGGGTACGATCGAAGACGAAGAAGGCGGGCGTTCAGGGTTTGGGATGTAGATATTGAGTGACACGCGAGCAGATAACAACGAACAGTCTTGGAATGCATGTTGTTGTTGTTTCTGCTGTTGTCGCGGCTTAAGAATAATTATGGTTGATCATTCCCCCGGCAACCGTTGCATGTTTCGATAAAGTGCTCCTCCCAGGGCTCGTGCCTTATTTCTGACAAGGGAAAGCTGGGTGTCACCAAACTGGGCCCCTGGCCCCCGAGTTACAACGACAACAACGGCTCCCTCCGGACACTTCCTCACAATATATTGAGAAGTCGTGGT